AGACAGACAGACAGACAGATAGATGATAGACAGACAGACAGATAGATAGATTCATAGATAGAACATTAGAATAGTCCTAAATAAAATGATAGACAGACAGACAGACAGATATAATTTTTTTTTTTTCTAGTAAAATCTATCTACACTCAGTGGTTTAGAGGCGTTTTGACATTGGCCTACTTTTAATAGCCTATATTTTAATATAAAACGACGTATTTAGAGATACAATCAATATGAAAACATTCCCAGTCCGTAATTGAACTGCGGGCGACATTATACTCTGAAAATGAACGACTTCCGTCTCTACAGGTAAAAATAAATTCTTTAAACTCACCAGAAGATGAGCTTTCGTAGAGTTGGCCGGTGTTGTCCTCTATTTTAGCGAATCTTCAGGAGTTTCAGGTGATTCTCCGGGCTTTTCAACTTCAGCCGCTGGAGGAGCGCTTCTTTTCGCTCTGGGCGGTTTGAGGTGGAGCGACTCCTCTGAGCGCTTGACGCCGGAATCATTCCGCTCATCACCGCAGGAGGCGCCCTCGAGTCCCGCTTCATCGCTCCAACATACAGATGCACGAATCCCGTTATCTATGGGATGATATTAGACTCAAATTGATTAATAGATGCACGCACAATTATCCATATACTGCATACATTTCATACATGTATCTTACTAACCACAAACAAATGCCTTTCAATTTGAGTCTGTGGAATTCTGGAGTTATCCTCCTCTGTGTTAGCCTTCAACGCTTTCAGGTTCGGCTTAAACATTACAACTTACATGATGCACAATATATGCTCAAACACTTCTAGTAGAATATCAATTCACTTGGAAACAATCATTAACACCTCCAGGTTCTCCTGACACTCATATCCAAGGACACAAGTCCCGTCTGCTCAGTCTCCTCCACATGGCTAGAGACGAATAAAAACACTCTCTTTTCAGTGCAAGAAAGAATTGAGGAAGGGTTTAAATATAGTACTTTATTTCCTGTGCTTTTCTTTATTATTGTGTTCATACGCGCTCAGGTCCTCACAGGGAAGATAGTATGCACTGGCTGTTCATTCAAGGTTATTTACATAAGGATATCATAATCATCACATTTCTGTTATCCACAACAACAATCCACAATATTGCTGTATTAAGTGCATTGAATAAAGACTCCAGTGTCAGTGCAAACTACTTTATTTCTCTGAATTGGAAAACCAAATTAACACCTCTGACCTATGATCCGTCCCAGAGTTTTTAGGGTTAAATGGTCATTCCATAGACAGCATTTGTGAAATTAGCCTTTGATACGCCATTAAGAGTATCACACAAGCACTGAATACTGAGAACATAGCCATTAATGTGAGGTAGCTCCCTCTTGTGTCATCCCTGGTACATGAAAAGTTTCCCAACACTTACTCATAAATACACATACATAATACATGGACAACCACTAACTTCCATTTCATCTTACCTTAAATAGCACTTTAAACAACAAATAACAGGAAAAAATAACCGTGCATGTTTTATCACTTGAAAGGCAACTGAGAGGTAATTTACTTATTTTGCACACTAGGAGCTCTGCCCCCAAAAATGGCACAATTTACACTTAATAAAAACAAAAATAATAAAATGTATCATCTTATAACTGAATAGGCTTAAAAACAGGCTCATCGCCCTGATGCATAGAGAAATTGTTCACTTTTACAACAAAATAAAGTTCAATACTCTAAAAGACAAAGCGGAACCATGAAAAAATATACATAAAATGAAGAAAATATAATCATCTGAAATCTGAAAAGACAAAAATACATACTGTGCAATATTTACTAACTATCTGAGCTGAAAGTATCTGGTCAAATGTATATAATACCTCATCAGCACCCTCATTAAAGCAGCAATAGCTCTCAAATGCATTTCCACTTAAAGGGTTAGTTCACCCAAAAATGAAAATTAGGCTGCGTTTTACTCACCCCCGAGGCATCCTAGGTGTATATGACTTTCTTCTTTCAGACGAATCCAGTCGGAGTTATATAAAACATTTTCTTTGATCTTTCAAGCCGTTTAATGCCACTCAGCGGGTGTTGAATTGTTTCAGTCCAAAAGAACTTAAATAAAAAAAAGTGTCTCACACGGCTCCGGGGGGTGAACAAATGCCTTCTGTAGCGAATCGATGCGTTTTTGTAAGAAAAATATCCATATTCAAAACGTAATAATCACTTGAATCTAGCTTGCGCTCACTGTTGTAAACAGAAGCAGCTCCGGGCGGATGACGTAAGACGTCGGCGTTGCGCATGCGCCGCTCAGAAGTGACGCACGCGGAAACGCAGCAGAGAGATCAAAACAAAACAACGGTCAAGAATTAGTTGGTGCAAGCTACATTAACGTGATTATTACGTTTTGAATATGGATATTTTTCTTACAAAAACACATCGATTCGTTACAGAAGGCCTTTGTTCACCCACCGGAGCCGTGTGAGACACTTTTTTTTTTTATGGATGGGCGATTTTTATTTAAGTTCTTTTGGACTAAAGCAATGCAACACCCACTGAGTGGTATTAAATGGCTTGAAAGATCAAAGACACCTTTTTTATATAACTCCGACTGGATTCGTCTGAAAGAAGAAAGTCATATACACCTAGGATGCCTCAGGGGTGAGTAAAACACAGCCTAATTTTCATTTTTGGGTGAACTAACCCTTTAAGCATTGCTTTACATAGCTCAAATAAACCAAAACATTATTCGCTGAACAATAACTATACTACAGCTAGACCTTATATAAAACAAACAATAGAAAAGTAACAAAGCAAGATGGCCAGTGCTTTACAGTAACTCGAGTGGTTTTTTAAAATGTTAAAACGTATAAAAATGTGAATGTCGATTAAAAGCCTCACTGCTGTGGCAACATTAAAATCAACGTCTCTAGATTCCCTCAGAGCTGAGCACCCTTTTTATATCAGACTGACAAACACTGCCAGCCATAAATATTTGGTAATAAATATTTTTAAAAAAGCACAATTTCTGATGCTTAAAATACACAAATCTCACATTACACAGAGTAAAAGACCTGTAAAGAAATTAGAATCGTCTGGATGTTTTTGGTTTGTATATATAAGGCTAGTCTTTGCTACAAGTTGGTAGCACTGAGCCTGTGATGCATATACGTGTGTTAGCCAAGGTTAGAGTGTGTTTGCTCAAGAACCCATTCAGTTCACCAGAGAATGTATGCGTATGAAGGCTTATAACGCACTATGGTGTGCACGAGTATAACCGGAGCACCTGTCGGGTGGGCAGGTGTCAGGTATTGGTGCGTAGTGCTTGAGACTGTGCTCGGCGACGGGCTAGTCTAGAGTTAGATGGAGGGGAGAGCCTCATGGAGCAGACCATGGCACCAAAGTCCTCCTGCTCTTCCTCCTTCTGAGACAGCTGCCGATTGAACGCGATGGCATCAGCGGCGAACTGTGTCAGGTCTTTAGTGCTGCAGTTTCTGTGGGTTCAACCAGAGAGTCGGTTAGAAACATTACAGAGACTGGAAAATATACTTAATCTACTGCATCGAAATCAAATACCTTTGTAGAACACGAGGAGTTTGAAGAACTCTTTCAGGTGCATTCTGAAAATGTAAACGAGTAAATAAAAATTTAATAAAAGTAAAAATAGACATAATAATATATATGGCATATATTTTGTATATTATTACATTAGATTTGAATAATGTATACTATCGACAAACGTTTGGGGTTGGTAAGTCTTTTGAATGTTTTGGGGGAAAAAAGAAAAAAAAAAAGAATGCATTAAAAAAAACAGTAATATTGTTAAATTATTACAATTTAAAATGTTTTATTTTTTTTATATATTTAAAAATGTAATTTATTCCGGTGATGTAATGCTAGATTTTCAAAATATTATTATATGCTGATATGCTGCTTAAGAAACTATTATTATTATTATTATCAATAAAGGGCTGCTTAAAGCTGCAGTCCGTAACTTTTTTTGTGTTCAAAATTTACCAAGTGAGCACACCATGAATCCATTTTCCAAACCGTGTTTTTGGCTTATCCTGAATCACTACAATAATAAGTGTTTATATTCTGACTATTTCAGAGTGGCACTGGTGGAACCGCTGCGGAGTAGCCCAGTACCGGCGTGATTTGTCATAGACATAAACAGAGAGAAATAGCTCCGGCTACAATGTTCTTCCGCAAGACGCACGCATTTCTGTTTATTAACCGCTAGAGCGCCAGAAGTTATGGACCGCAGCTTTAATATTTTTGTGGAAACTGTGATACATTTTTTTTTTCTCCAAGATTCTTTAAAGAATAAAAAAAGTTCAAAAGAACATTGTTTATTTGAAATTGAATGCTTTTGTAACAAAGTAAAAATCTTTACTGTCACTTTTGATCAATTTAATGTATCCTTGTTGAATAACTTACTGACCCCATATTTTAACATATTACATACGTATATATATATATATATATATATATA